ATTCATCATCGTGTCCACAAGTCTTAACAAAATGAGTATGGACGTCTTTTGGCACGAACATTCTATACTTGAGAGAGAGAGTCATGGTCCTGAATACTGCAAAGGGTGCTATGAGAAGACTTCGAAGATCAGTTACAATGCGGTTCGGGTATAGGCATGCGACAGATGCCAGTTTGTATGGCATACCTCCTGCGTTCCAAGCTCACCAGAGAATATTAACCACCCTTGCCACCCAAGCCATCCCCTCGAGTTTCTCATGCAAGGGCCACCATACGCTGATGGGAAATGCAACATATGTCGCGGGGAACACACCAGCTTTATTTACCATTGTAAATTATGCGATTTCAGCATTGATATGAAATGCGTGAAAGACCCGCTTCCCCTCACAGTGGATCATCCAAAGTGCCACGACCATGCACTCACCCTCATGGGGAGAGAAGTAACCTTCACATGTAACGCTTGTGGTACGCATGGTGAACGAAACCCTTATGTATGTCTTCCATGTTCTCTCATGTTTCATTATGACTATATTGATCTACCTCATGTCATAAACATCAATCGTCATGAGCATCGGGTATCGCATGCATATCCTCTCACTCCTAGGGATCGGATATGCCAAATTTGTCGTCAAAATATCAACTGGAGGTATGGAGCTTATTCATGCACCAAATGTCCAGATCTTTCCGTTCATTCGAGATGTGCAACTAGGAAAGACGTGTGGGATGGGGTTGAGCTCGAAGGGATACCTGAGGAAGAACTAGACATTGCGCCTTTCAAAGTGATCGACGAAGGGATAATAAATCATTTCTCCCATGAGGAACATAACTTATTTCTTATTGCGGATGTCATCATTGATGATAGTGGTGAAGGCATGCGTTGTGAAGGTTGCTCCCGTCCAATCTCTTTTGAGAGGTATTACAACTGTATGGAATGCGATTTTATGCTTCATGAAGAATGTGCTAATCTTCCTCTTCAAAAACGACATGCGCTTTCCACACGTGTACTTTCTCTTTCAGCCAGTAAGAAGGAGGACGATATTATTTTCTTTTGTGCAGCGTGTGATAGACTTGGAACTGGTTTTAGATATTCTGATGGTGATGAGTATCATCCTATAGTACTAGATGTGCATTGTGCGTCTCTCTCTTGGTTCCGGCACCGAAAAATTCATCCCCACACATTATTCCTGACCACATTAGACAAAGGGGATTGCGTAGGTTGCGACAAAAGTGATACCTATGTACTCGGTTGCATAGAATGCGAGTATTTTTTGGATTTCAAATGCGCTACTCTACCAATAGTGATAAAGCATAGGTGTGATGACCATTATTTGTTTCTGAGCTCTGGTGAGAAGGCAACCGGTAAATATTGGTGTGAGATATGTGAAGCCGAAACGGATCCTCAGAAATGGTTCTATACATGCCATGACTGTGGGGTTGTGTGCCATATTGATTGCGTAGTGGGAGTCTTTTTGAACATCAATCCAGGAGTATTATTCATGAGCGAGGAAGGGAAGTCAGAAACAGTTCTCAACAATCAAAATTTTAGACCACTATGCTCAGCATGTGGCTCTCGTTGTACGGCCCCTGTGGTTTACAAGATATCTGAAAATAGTAGTGAGAAACACTACTGCTCGTGTTTTTGTTTTCCGGACAGTTAGGTACCCGCTCAAGCTCATCTTTGAAGGGCTTCCTGATTCTACTGGAAGGAATAACTGTAAATCCTCTTGCAATTAGGTTTAAGGGTGGATTGTCACCTCTTTCGTTATCGTTAAAAATAAGACATCTTTGCGTTCTAATAAAGAGATTCCGATAAACGGTATTCTTAAGATCCCATTGTATTTTAGACATATTCAAGTATGACAAGAGGTTCTTGGAGATTTTGTCCACTGAGTTTGTTTATAGATTCCGCTTTCCATCAGTTGGTATCAGACACCGTCCGTTTATGGATGTGTGGTTGATTCATTCAACCATGCCTCCTAAGAAAAACTACCACGAAAAACAGCTCACTGAGTTGAGTATACTTTTGTTAATCCACAAACTTTAACGTTAATATTCAATTGTTGTTACCACTTTTGTTTCATTAGCCATTTAGCCGCCTCGTTGCTCTTTTGTTTTCTCTCTCTCCTATCTGTCTTTCGACAGAGCTTTCTCACTCGAAGATAATCATTTTCCCACGTCTGTCTCTACCAAAAATCATAAGAATATATCAAGAGAGAGAGAGACTTTGAAGCTAATTCTTCACATATTCTTTTTTTTTGTTTTTCTCCTCTTAATATAAATGACCAAATTTGGAATGTTTGTTCTATTCTTGATCATATGCTTCTCTGTCGCTTCCTTTTGACGTTTTCTTTCTTTTCTTAGCTGTTTCTTTTTCCTCTCTCTCTCTCTATCTTCCTTTTATCTTTTGGGTTTCTATCTTTTTTTCTTGTTCCTTAGTTAAATTTTTGTTTGTTGTTCCTAAATTTCTCAAGTAGCTCATCTCCCTTCGTCTCTCTGGTTTATTGCTCTTCGATCGTTTGTTTCTATTTCCATTTTGTGCTTGATTTTCCTGATGGATCGTGATTTTCATCGTCGTGGTCAAGTGGTAAGCATGCAAACATCTTTGATCATTTTGAAAATGTCTACTCAGGATCATGTAAATGTGTTTAACTTTAAGGTCAATCTCGATCAATGCGCGCATTAAATTCACCCTGTTTTTACAAATTGAGAATGCGTTTTTTTTTTGTTTCGCGTCGCAAATTCGTGAACCTTACGCGATACTTTGTTATTTTGCGGATGATGATAGAGACAAATGTCGTTATTAGCCTGTTAATTTGATGGCAGAGTCCTCTGTTTTTCTTTATAACATTTTTAGAGAAGCTTTATTGAATGATTTTGATATCACTTTTTTAGGCGAATGATCGTTCACCGAGCAGCTACTTTGTTCGGTTGGATAAACCGAGATCCGTAGACGATCTTGATATAGGCAAGAGAGGGAAGATGCGTAGGTGGCTTTGCTGTTCTTGTCGTGTACAAGAATCATACCCTTCAATTGAACATGACAGAGTGAAAAGCCCTCCTACTCGCCACCATGACTATGGTACACGCTTTAAACATTGCCATCTTTTTACTTCAACTTGTGATTTCTTTGGCCATGATCAAACCTATCAACTTTCTTCGCTTGTGTAGGACGTACCAATAAGAAACCACCAGCTCCTATGAAGCCTGCCGTGTTAAAGGAGCCTCCTCCTATTGATGTCCCCGCGATGTCATTGGAGGTGCTTAGAGGAAAGACTGAAAACTTCGGATCAAAGGCTTTGATTGGGGAAGGATCCTATGGAAGAGTGTACTACGCAACCTTGAATGATGGGAAGACTGTGGCTGTGAAAAAGCTTGATAATGCATCCGAACCCGAGACAAATGTCGAGTTCTTGACTCAGGTCTCGAAGGTTTCGAGGCTGAAGAATGACAATTTTGTTGAGCTTCTTGGTTATTGTGTCGAAGGACATCTTCGTGTCCTTGCGTATGAGTTTGCCACAATGGGATCCTTGCACGACATTTTACATGGGAGAAAGGGAGTCCAAGGAGCACAACCTGGTCCAACACTTGAGTGGATGCAACGAGTCCGAGTTGCAGTTGATGCAGCGAAAGGATTAGAATACTTACACGAGAAAGTTCAACCTGCCGTTATACACAGAGATATTCGATCTAGCAATGTGCTTCTTTTCGAAGATTTCAAAGCCAAGATCGCTGACTTTAATCTGTCGAATCAAGCTCCTGATATGGCTGCTCGTCTTCATTCTACTAGAGTTTTGGGGACATTCGGTTATCACGCACCAGAGTAAATATGCTTCAAAATTCGAAACCTCAAAGCTTTCTCGATTCTTAATAACTTAAAGATTGTAACTTGTATACATTTTTTGGGTTGCAGATACGCGATGACAGGACAGCTGACCCAAAAGAGTGATGTTTACAGTTTCGGAGTTGTGCTTTTGGAGCTTCTAACCGGGAGAAAACCGGTTGATCATACAATGCCTCGTGGTCAACAAAGTCTTGTCACTTGGGTAAGTAACCACCTAATCTGATCTTTTGCTTTCTGAGATAACCAAATCATTTCTTGGTTATATACAACTTTCTCTGTAAATCAAATATTCAGGCTACTCCAAGGCTGAGTGAAGACAAAGTGAAGCAATGTGTTGATCCAAAACTCAAAGGAGAGTATCCAATTAAAGCAGTTGCAAAGGTCTAAAACAACTAGAAACTTCCTATTCATTTATGAAACACTACATGAAGCTAAAACTTGTGTTTTGATGGTAAACGCAGCTTGCGGCAGTTGCAGCGTTGTGTGTGCAATACGAAGCAGAGTTTAGGCCAAACATGAGCATTGTAGTAAAAGCTCTTCAACCGCTCTTGAGGTCTTCAACAACAGCTGCTGCTCCTGCACCACCTCAAGCTTGATTTTTCTTCTTTGTGGTCTCTTGCATATTTGATTCATTCATGGCTTCAAGG